GGAGAATATTTTTCTTTTTTTTAACATTCTAAATACTTGTTCTCACTCTTCCATGTTTATTTTTTTTATTGCATGCAGTGGTTCTACATTGCAAGGAAGCTGTCTTTCTCCTAACCATAATTTATCCTTTTTACTGTTTCAGGCCTACATTGAGAAGTACAAATTTACCAGCGTTGTGGCTCAAGATCTTCTGGATTCCTTCCTGAATTTTTTTCCAGAGCTGAAAGAGCAATGTGTTGAGAGCAAAGCAGGTAGGAAATTTACTTAGTTAACTGTAAACACTGTAGAAAAACTGCATGATAAATTTTGTGCTTGGCTTGGAGGATGCATAAGAAAATGCTAAGGCAAACAAAACCCTTTGGCAACAGCCAGATGTTCGTGATAGAAATGTTTGTGGTGATTTATTGTTACTGCCTCTACGTTGGGGAATGAGAACATCTTAAATTGCTGACAATTTTGGCATTAATCAGCTGAGTGGCCCTCAGTTAACTTTCTCATTAACTCATCTTTTGCACTGCAGACAGAATGATCAGTGTATGTGAGATTTACACATGCTCGAATGCAAGGAAAAGATGAACATACTTTGAAATTTCATCTATTTTAATTACAGAAAACATGCTTTGAGAACTGTAACTTTTCCCAAGGTCCTATCCATGCATATAAAGTCTCTTCCATGATGTTTCACCCTCCCTTATATCCCCTATTGGTGGATTTATGAAAGGTCTGTAATCTACGAGGTGCTTATTAGCCCACGTGCTTAAAGAAATGAGACTAATGTTATCCTGCTGTGTGTCCTTCCTTGCAAGTAATTATTGAACACATTGGTCAGTTTAAACCAGACCAGCAGGGGACTACAGCTCTTAAGGATACTAGGTTCCCACAGGCTTTGTGGAAACTGCCTGTGGAGAGATGTAGATGAGTGATCCTACTGTGGGAAAAGCTGCAGCATGACCTCAGCAGTTCTATGTTTTATTTGGCCCACTGGTTGGCTGAGTTAACCACAGCACGGGCTGACTTTTGCCTGGCTAATATTCAGGGGATGCAGGAGAGAGGAGTTTTAGGATAGATGGTGTGGAACGGGAAGTATTGCGAAGGGTTAGGGAAGTGCTGAGGTGGTAAAGGGTCAAGGGGAGGAGCTCTGTTGGTAACCAGGCTCTGCTAGCTCTGCCACTTGTGGAGAAACTTTTTTTTTGTTTGAGTTATTGGTTGTATAAATTAATTTAAAATTGCTCGGTTTGGCCGGTGGGTAGGAGGAGTTTAGTCAGCCCTCTCACCTTTTTTTTTTTTTTTTTTTTTTTATGAAGCGGGTTTTCCCCTTATTCTTTGGTCTTCCTCAAAGTTATGAGAAAGAGCAATGCATGCACAAAAAAATCTTGTATTAGAACATAGTTTGATCATAGATACTTGTTAGTCTGGCTGTCTTAAGAGCGTGGTGTGTTTCTTGTACTTACTCACTGTAACGTTGAGCTCTAGAAAACTCATGGTTAAATTTGGCAGAGGTGTTGCTGGCACTCTTCCAGATGTAGTGTAGGCTAGCCTGATGAGACTGCGAAGACTGTTACGTCGCTGTAACTTACAGGTTGGTCTGATTTGCTATTGTTAGAACCTCTCTTAACTGTGCTAGAAGCAGTGCTGAACCTTGAGACAGCCCAGCCACCTGCAGAGACTCCTGCTCGACATTTTTGGTGCTCCTCATTCCAGGACTGGAGTTTGAACGTTGGCTCAATGCTACAGGACCTCCGTTAGCTGAGCCAGACTTATCTCAGGGATCCAGTCTGACCAGACCAGTGGAGACGCTCTTCAAACTCTGGACCACAGAGCCTCTGGACTCTCTTGCTGCTGCCAGCAGTGCTGACCTCACTAAATGGAGAACGTTCCAAACCGTGCTTTTCTTGGACAGATTGTTGGATGGGTCACCACTGCCACATGGTGAGTACTCTATCAGGATAGCAGAAAAGTATTCCTGGAAGAATGAATTGAATTCTAAAGATCCCCATGCCATACTGACCTTATCATTCACGTAAAGTCAGGTTGGATGGGGCTTTGAGCAGCCTGATCTAGTGAAAGATGTCCCTGCCCATGGCAGGGGGGTTGAACTAGATGATCTTCAGAAGTCTTTTCCAACCCAAACCATTCTATGATTCTGTGATTTTATGATTCGTTATTCTCTGATGACCCTCAAACTTGACAAAATATAGGTCATAGTTCTTTCTCTGTGTATGTGCTCTCTTCAGAGGTGATAAAAAAGCTTTCGGAATGTTACTCCTCTCAGCTGGACTCCATGAATGCAGAAATCCGTATCCGCTGGTTGCAGATTGTAGTCCGAAATGATTATTATCCAGACCTTTACAAAGTCCGTCGCTTCTTGGAAAACCAGGTACTAACTGCTGGATTAAAATCACTGCACCTCTCAGTGCATGAGACATGTGCATGAGACATGCGACGTGAAAGACCTTGGAACTTCTGCTTCCTGGCCAAGTGTAGACCAGGTGTGTTGCGAAGGGGCCGAGCATGGCTCACCTGCTAGCGGGTGGGGAGGAGTGGGCAGATGTAATTTGAAATGCCTGCAGATAATCTCTGCTTTTCTAGTCTAACTCAGTACCCTTGTCCCAGCTCTGCCCGGTGCATTTTTTGTGTTGCTTTGTAGCAGCGCTGGCTTTTCCAGACCAGAAATTTTCACACTACTAAATCACGTGATTGTTTGAATATTTACACTTCAGGCAAGGCTAGGGCTCATCAAATTCCTTTCAGTAGTTTTTGTTGTGCAGGAGCAAAAGGTTAATGCATGTGTTCACTGTGGCCTCTTCTCCTCGGCCTTTTAAAAATAGTTCTGTTATTTGTGGAAATAGCTCAGTCTTACAAAGCAAATGTTTTTTTATTACCATTCATAAAAATCTTTGCATTAAACTCATTTAGAATAGACTCGGCTGTCTTTTGAAGAAATGTGTGCTTGTCTCCAATCTGAAGTCATTCAGGGCTGTTGGAGTGTAGCTGTAGAAGAGCTGAATCTCTTGACTTTTATTGAAGTGGTATTATCCAGTTTTCCTTTTTTGCAGATGTCTCGGATGTACACAATTCCACTTTATGAGGACCTTTGCACTGGCACCCTCAAGTCTTTTGCCTTAGAAATTTTTTACCAGACCCAAAACCAGCTGCACCCCAATTTGCGGAAAACCATCCAACAGATCTTATCACAGGGCTTGAATCCACTTCCTGCCATAGACACTACAGCAGTCACTACAGAAACACCAGCAATGGTGCTTGAGGACAAAGTCTCAGAGGCCACAAATGGTGCCATTTCACTCAGGGATGTTAATGTGTCTGCTTAGATCACCAGCTCATGCCAGCCATGAAGGTTGAAAATGGGGACAGGAACAGAGGAAAGATACCAAGTGTCGCCTCCTTTCCCTCAGCCCTGCAGCTGCAGTGTGTTGTTGTAACTGGATTTCTCTCCCAAAACACAAAGCAAATGTGCCTTCAAGTATCCAGCGTGTGACACTGCCAGGTTTCAGAGATCTCCTTCAGCTGTGGGATGGATATTTTGATTCGGTTTATACTGGGCAGGGACTCCTGGGCAGTTGCTTCTCCATGGAAAGTGGTGGATAGTTCCCTTTCCTGAGGCTCTTCTGGATGGTTTCTCCAAGTTTGTTGGTTGGTGGTTTGGGGTTTTTTTCTTTTTTTCTTTTTTTGTCTGAGGCCACTGAGGCATGTCCTACTTGCTCTGTGTATGTTGCTGGGGAGTGTATATGTGTCAAGCTGCCATTATCCTGATACTTGGGCTGAAGTTCTGCAAAGGAGAGACTCAGGAATTGTCAGTGGCAGCAAACATGTTTTCATGTTATGCTCCTTACTGTGACAGAGGTATTGTGAATTGGGAGGTAGGGGACTAATGCTTAAATAATTAAGAAACTAATTTTAAATAGCTCCTGTTCTGCCCTGCCCCCAGGTGGCTAAATATTAATAATAATAATGCTTTTTTTATATATATATATAAGTATATATATAAAAGAGCAGGGAAACCTTATGATGGATTTGAAATCCTTCTGTAGTTAACCCTACCCTCTCAGTTTTCCCTTTGCACTCAATGGGACAAGCAATAAAGAAATGTGTAGGCTCGAATTTTCAAAAAAGTTAAATTTAGGTGCCCAAATGCCATCAATTCTGGTACTAGCTGGATGCCTAAATCTTTTTAACTGTTTTGACAAGTCTAGCTGCAACCTTTGTTAGTGTGTTAGGATGTGTAGCACGTGCGTTTGTCAGATGCACTGTGTCTCTTCTATTCTGTCCTTTTGGAAGAATTAACAGGACCTTTAATTTAATTTTTTTTAAAAGATCCCCAGCATATGTTTGGCCTGTAAGTCAACCATGGAGATATCCATGCTAAAATTTTACTGCCTTGAATAACGTTTGCCTGAATAACAGTTGCCCTGTCATATGATAGTCTGAGGGAAGCACCCTCTTTCTTGATGTGAAACTTTTAAACCCCGCTTTACCCATGTCTGTTTTCTGACTTGTGGTGGTGGTGGTAAGATGCCATTTCATTTACACAGCATGCTATTTCTCTTGATCACTGGCCAGGCATGCAAGATGGGGAGACGCCCTCTTCCGTCTGCGCCGCTTGGTCTCGGGAAGCTGAGGGCAAAGCATCGTTGGGTATTACAGAGTACAGGTGATGGTTCTTAGACTCTGTGCCGCATTCTTTTTAATGTGTGGGTACCTGTGTGCCTCTTGGTGAGCTCCCAGGAAGCATCTCTGAGCTGATGTATCACCAGGATGGAGGACTAGTTTGAGTAAAAGGTGAAACATTTGGAAGGGGTTCAGCTAAAGGAGATGTGAGAGAGAATCTGCTATATACTTCGGGGCAAATTTTAGCCCTGCTATGGGGATCTACATAGCACAGGAAGAGGGGAAATTCGGGAGGTTTTTTTTTTCACCAAAAGAATCTGTTTACACCCATGTGTGGATGGGGACTTAGGTGCTGTTACTGGATCTGCATTTTCTGGCTTTAAATTAATTTGGACTTCACTGTAGCCTTAGCCTGGGCTGAACTGGGATAAAGCAATAATAAACTCAGGCCTTCCTAGTGCTTCATTAGTTTTCAAAATGGGCCATCGGCATTGTTGGGCTTCAGAACTCCAAGCTCTGCTCTTTGCTCCTTGAATGGGATTATCTTTTTCGTTCTGTTTTGTTTTCCCAGAAAGGAAGGAGAATGACGTTTTCTGCACAAATCTCTTTCCTTTTTATTTGTTGTTCTATTGAAAGAGATTTGTGCAAGTTGACTTTCCACTTCCTGACTTGCCGCTGTTGGTGCTGCATCTTCTGGACCCCACTGCCAGCAGCGGCAGCCTGGCCAAGACCAGTAACCACTAGCATCTTTTGGAATCCCAGGCCTCTGTTTTAACACGTTTTATTTTTGTGGGAGAATGTATGTGACCCTGGTGGGAAATTTTAATTTACATGGATGCCTTAATGATTGTCAAATTAAACTAAGCTTTGTGACAAGTGTAGCCTTTTGGGCTGTTTTTCAGCGTTCCTGCTATAGATGTGTGGAAGAGCTAACTTGGTACATTGTCTTTGTTTTGTCCTTTTCTGGAGTGGAGCATAGAGGGAGTTTGGAAGCTATTGAAAAGGTGCACAGCAAGAAGTTGGAGAGGTGGCAAAAGCAAATAATCAAAAGTAAATATTACCTATTGTTACTACAACTGACTGAAATACATCAGATCAGCTGTGTATTTGCATATACATGCATCAGAGCAGGGAAATGCTGGCTGAACCTAACAGACTGTTTCCTGATTAAAGAACACGAGATTTAAGTTAGTGTTTCTGCTCTCATCCCTGTGAGATCCCATCAGATGGCTATTTTCATAAGACTTGTTCTCTGAAACACAGCAACAAAGCAAGATTTTTTGAAAGTATTCCATGCATTCTTCTTCAAACTTTCGCTCCTCCTGTGAGCAAGAAGTGCATTTTTATTTTGAAGAGACAAAAAATTGGCAGCAAGTTTGTGGAGATAAGCCTTCCTTTTGTTGACACAAATTAAATTAATGCTTCAGGCTACTTTCTATCTTGATTTGTAGTAGACTTCACGTTGACAGGCAAATTAGACTGAGATTAAATAGAAACTATTTATTTGCCTTATCTTTGGTACATTCATTACTGATCTGTTAAAGTAAGATTAGTACAGCAAATCAGTTTTATTTAAGCAGATGATAAGAGATAGGGTTATCTTCCTTATTTTGAAAATGAAAGCTACTACTTTATTTCATTGCAGCCTTGAGCAGGGTGACATGGGATCCAGAAACATCACTTGTGGAAAAGCTCTGAAGAGCCAAACCCTTTCATAAAATGCAATATTACTACCATAATTTTTTAGCATTTCATAGCCATGTTGGTTAATGCGTTAAGTGTAATTCTTGTTAGCTACACGCATTACTCTGTTAAGCTTGTATCAGTAATTTTGCTGTCATGATACATTGCAACATCCTAACCATGCACTCCATTAATCAAGAACAATTCTAGCAAGCATCCCAAACATTCTGATTTAACCAAAATTTTCTCATGTTCTTGCACTGCAGTGACCTTGGCCGTTGCCTTTTTTGGATAACGCAGGACCTTCTGTACATCTATACTAAGCACATGTACTGCATAATTCCCTTTGGTCAAGTACACTTCTTCAGTCTGTTTTCCCTGTTTGTGTTTGTCCAAAGATAAAACAACGTAATACAGTCAACACTTAAATCCCATGACACTTGTTTTCACACTTTTTACTATAGATTGATAAAAGCTTAAAGTCGCTATGACCACAATATCAGCCTCTGCCTATAAAACAAACCACAGTAGAAATCACAGTGTGAGATTTATCAAGCCACTGTCCTCTGAGACACAGAATTATTTTTCTGTTGGGAGGACCCAATTCAAGTGACACTGAATTGGTTGAAGCCCCAGGTAAGTTGTTCTCACTTTTGATTGCACACACTTCTAAAACTGCATACCTAATTTCTAGTTTGGATTTGTCTAGTTTCAGCTTCCAGCTCTTGAGGCTACTGGTTTGTTTGCGAAACATAAACTGCTTACCGTTAACTAACCTCTTTCCCATGTAAGTACCTCTTAATTCTTAGAGGAAAACAGATTGAGTCGTTTGGTCTCTTGCTGCAAGGTATGTTTTCCGTACTTCATGTATTGCTTTAGCTCTGGGGTGGAGCGTGATGTTTCAACACCCTTTTAAAGTGCAAATTGCCAGAACTGCACACTATTTCTCAAAAATTACCTCAAATGCTGCTGTGTATTCTGCACCAACTTAAGAAGATTTTTTTATTAATATTGTGGATTTATCCTGTTCTTTCATTAATTATAATAGTAATTTGGGCACCAGTTAGAACATGTCTTACATGGACATGGCAACCTTTTCTTTTATAGATAAAGGAGTGTAGAGAAAAGCTGTTCCATACTCTGGAGGTGACTTTTCCTTTTCACTCTATACAGAGGGAGACTAGCAGGTTGCATTAAATGATTGAGCCTGTGTGAACACCTCCCCTCACTCCTTCTCTATGTGCATGCACCTTCTGCGCTGGAAAACTCAAGTCTTATACCTCTGATTTCTTGTCCAGAGAATTAGGATTATATTGAACAGAGTGTGCTCTGTGCCTCACAAGGAAGATGTTCTAATATACTAGAGATAAGTCTCTCTTTAAAATTTAAGAAATGGCATTAATGTATTTTGCACAGCATTTGATCCTTTTCCAAAAGCATACTTACTGAGAGGCAGGGTCTTAAGGAAGAGTGGGAGGTGATAGGAAAGGATGGGAGATGGGGTATTCTTCATGCTCTTATGATTTGGTGGAAAGTGTCACCCGAGTTAAGTCATAATAACTGGTTGACGTTCTGTCTATGACCTAGGGAAGCATCAGCTTTGTGCATTGTTTTAATTTTGGCATCTTGTACAATGTTGTTCTTGTGTGCTGTGGTAGCCAGCATGGAAGTTTGGAGCTGTGCTCTACCTCTGGGAGTGCCTGAGGTAATGAGGGAGATCTTTATCTAGCAATGGGAGTCTTCCTCAGGCCAAGCCACTCGGTCTTTCTGGAAGAAGACTGAGTCTGTCTTCCCAGTAGCTGAAGAGAGCACTGCGATATCAGGCTGCTTCTGGCTGGCTGATGAAAACCATCAGAGACTTCTTCCACACCATGCTTTTCTGAGCATAAACCCCAGATACTTCTTCAAAAATCTCCCTTAAGCAAAATGACATTCTGTGCTACTCCTCTGACACAGCTCCAACCTCTGTCAGCCTAGTGGTATTGCAGGGACTAAGCTTGTGCCTTCCTAAGCCTGGTATCGGGATCCAAAGAATTGGAAGAGCTCCCCTGTGCAATCTGAACAGCTTCTGTGTGTTAAGAGTTTGCAGAAACAAACACACACGTTGGGCCCAACCACCATTGCTCAGATCACTTTTACCTGTCTCCCTGTCCTTGAACCATCTGGGGATGGAGACAAAAGCAAACATGAGGTTGATGAAACCCAAAAACTGGAAAACAATCATGAAAATACCAAATACTACTCTGTCAAAAGGTAGTCTTCATTCACATGGAAATGAGCTGGCTATTTAACTGGTTGCAAATCCCTTTTAACTGTTTAAATTTCCATAGCAACTGGACTCAGCCTCTCGGTGTCTGCTTTCCTCTTTTACAAGGATGTTAATACAAAGCACCTATGTAAAGTGCACTGAAAAACTGACAAAAAGGCAAGTGTCATTTTGTCTTAAAATACTCTCTTCAAGACTTACTGTCTAAATAGACATGTGTTTCTGTCTTCAGGAATAGTTTAATCCAGCAGGATTGCCAAGAGGCAACAGAGAAAATTCTCTGCTGCTTTTGTTCCAAAGAGTTTGGGGTTAATATTAAAAAACATGGCCAGCTGCATAATGGATAAATTTGCCCATTTCCAACTTTGCAGTGGGGCAAGGAAAGCGTGTCAGATATCTTAGAGACCGAGATAATGTCCATCTCTTTCCTTCTTCTGATAGCATCATAAATAAATACTGTTACATGTTTAACTAGTTCACTGTTCCAGGTGGGATCTACTATGTTTACAGTTAGAGCTCAACATTCATACTGCTTTCTAGAATCTGCCCTTCAATGGAGTTTTTGCAGTTGTGATCTGTGATCACTGTTTCCTAAAGAAAGCAGCAAGGGTGAAATCACACGGATGAGAGCCTCGCTGTTCCTGAGACAGAGGTCTTTTTTTTTTTTTTTTTTTTTTTCCCTTTCCCTCCTCCAACAGACCTCTCCTGTGTCAGCTCACTTGCAGCCCATGCAGCTGCAGCTCTCTTGCATGAGCCGTGGACAAGAGGGGTCCTTATTCTTACTGACGGCAATGTTTCCTTTGCTCCCAAAAGGGTCAAAACTGGAACGTGAAAAGTCTTGTGTGTTGATTAAATTTGCTGTATGCAGTGGAAAAGCCTTGTGTCTGTACAACGGGCATAAGCAAGGCACAGAGAACCTGTTTCTGGATCAGTCAGTGGTTGGACAGCTACTGCAGTTACCTGTGAGTATTTCCATTCTGCTAAGGCGAAGGTTTCAGAGGAGGATTTCTGCATTTATTTCTGATAGAAACGAATCGGACCAGTGTTTTCTGTGGATCTCTCTCGTTAAGACAACCTCTCTACCCAAGGACCAGGTGATACAACCCTTAGACTCAAACCCATCATTATAGGTGAGTGTGAAAAACAGCTTTTTTGGTAAACATCATGTCCTCTCATGCTGGCTCAGCAGCCTGCTTACTTGACCACGCTTGAACTTCTTGAGAAACGCTAATGTAAAAGGCCCAAATACAAAAAAGAAAGCAGCCTGCTTCAGTATGCCTTGACCCGGCCCCCAAACCTCAGAACTAGCAGTGGTTTACTGAAGGATGGCCTGCAAGGGGCCTTGCGTTTCTGCATTTCTTTCCTTTGTCATTGTCGTTCTTTGTTTATAGGAAGTCAGTACTTTTGAATGTATTTTTTCTGTTTCACTAGGCAGTAGTAGCTATTGAAGTACGAGAGTTCCTTTGTCAGTTATTTCCTTTGTCAGTTCAGCCCTTGGACTAGTATTTAGTGATAAACTATCTGAAAATGTGATCTTTGCCGTTATCTCGGGAAACCACTTTGTGAGGGTCAGCAATTCCTCTGACAGTTTCTCCGTCATAACCTTCATGAAAATGCAGTTTGGTTTCGTTTTCCTCAGCCTCCAAGAGCCGCTCAGGCGGCCGTTAACCTTTCCTCCTCCAGCTCTGCCGAGGAGAACTTCCAGTTTCTTCCAGGTATTCCTGAGTACGGAATATCGCCCGGGCTCGTGAACCCCGGGGTGCCCCGGGACTCGCGGCCCCCGCCG